AATCACAGTTTGCTTACCTCATATTGGGTATTGGCTGGTTGTCTCAGGGTTAGTAGTACTATCCCTATTGAAACGTTCATCCACAAAAGTGCCATTACTCGCATTACAATGGAAAGATCGGGAAATCTGTAATGGGTCTAGTTGTAAGCTTTAGGCGAACAACATGACATGATTAGTTCAAAGGCGGAAGATATTGGACCAACCCAGCCATAAAGTATAGCCCGTCAATAGCCGTAAGAGAAGCGAATACCGTAGACAGAGTGACAAACAACCCTGAATTGTAACCTTCACTGCTTTACTTTCTACACTTTTGAAGATCTACGCACCCATCCTCTTACTCACAAACTTCGTCATTCTCATCAATTCTGACTGTCGCGCACTAAAGGAGTCCAGCACGTCGGGCACCTAAAAGAGATGCTTCAACCAAAGTTTTTGTTGCATAGTAAAGGCCTTTATTCGACGCACTGTGAGTTGTTTCAGTTTGGATGCATTTGTAAGTTCTTCGTTATACGATATCCACTCATGGTTTACGTGCACAAAAACCAGCACGTGAACTATCAAGGCTAACGTTGAAGAGAAGGCGACCATTAGATAAACAAGGGGCTCGACTCCGAACATCGTGTCGATAGTGATGGGGTAGCTGAAATTCTACTGCTGTGAATTACAATTTGAACGAAATTAAGAAATGCAATTAGTCTGCACGCATATATAAGACTTATAATAAAATTTTGCTATAAAGTTGTGAATGTTATTAATGATTCTGTTCTCTTGTAGTTCGGCAAGTTTCATTTACTTTTGAAGGATTTTTCTAGAATTATTCTATCAGCAATGCGAAACTTCCGCGCGACTACATGTTTTTTGGTCTTCGTATGCTGATCTGCGTGTGTACAGCTGGCTCATTTCGCTTTGAATACTGAAAGCTTTCGTGCAACTCATAGTAAATTTTTCTTCTTTTGGCGATTTTCACAAATATTCATGTTAACTTGAGTTGAAGTTTCAATCCATGTGGATTTTGCATCGACCACTGAGAAGTCATGAACCGCTCTCACATTGCCGATACATACTTTGCGATGGCAAAGATAACTCAACACACTTGTGAATGAACACTCTACTCGATAAGAACTTGTGTTGTATCATATCATGATTATCTTGGTTAAACGACCCACATTTCCTTCCTTATAAAGACAAGATATGCAAGGATATCGTCTCATAACTTAAATCCTGAACTACAAAAAGTCTCATGTTTCAAGTCTGTAAACTGAAAAAGAGCAAAGAGCGACTAGACGGTAAATGGCTAGCTCGAGTTACAGCGCGCACTACCTAGCCAAATTCAATTGCCCAGTTCTGCTTGGAAACACACCCGAATTAACAGAGGTCAAAAAAAGTCTCATTGTTTGATTGTTAGGAATTGAGTATTTCAAATTTTTAGGCCGTGATTTTTAAAACTCAGAAGAAATCCCGTGTTTAATTTGCTCAAAAGTTCTTGTATCTCTGCCTTCTGCAGTGCTAACTGACGAATTTACGTCACTATCATCTACCGTCATCGCCAAAGATCCATTATCAATGGAAATCTTAGAAATTACTTGGAAAAGATTCATTAATATCGACCGGGAGCATATTTTATCCGAACATTTTGTAGCTGATGTTTTAAGAGATGGCCTTTGGTTTGCATTCAATGCTGATCAAGTAATCAAGCTTGCTGAGAGTGTTGTCGTGTAGAAATCAAATGCGCTTCACCATCTATTGCAAAATTTGCAAGAAGAATAAGGGCAATTCTGAGATGTTGTGGCATCTAAGGTCTCAACCTTATTCGCTATGTTCTGAGACAACCCTTCAAGTGAATGCACATTTCACATTTCAGAAACACCTCTTAAGTTTACTTTACAACTTTTTTCTTGTTTTTTAATGCATTTTGTTCTCTGATTTATTTGATAATGATTTAATGTTTTCTTTATCTGCTGTTAAGTTACTTTTGCTTCTGAAGGGAAACAACTGTGAAGTTATGCTTATACCTGATTGAGAAAGAAGAAGTTTCATTGTGGTGATTTCCATCGTAAAGAACGCCTTTC